TTAGAAAAAATTCTTCAGAAGGTATGCTCACAAGCAGTGTGTGTGAAATGTCATTCAACACAGTAACATAAGCTACATGTTTGCCAAGTTATTTACAACTTACATGACAGAATTATCAGTTAGACATGGTTCAAAAGGCAATACAAGAATAAAATACAATAGAATCAGATGTATACTGTTTATGAACTTTAAGCTTTTTAGGATAATCAACTGTAGTTTTCTGTTACAATCTGAAGTCATTCTAGAAAAAAAAAGCGTAATTTAGATTTATTTATAATTATTTTTATGGTAATTACAAGGTCAATTAAACTGACCAAGTTTGTGTAGAGTTAGGGTAAAGAAAGTAACAGATAAAATATGAAGTTTTACTAAGAAACAAACATTTGATATTTATTTAGTAGGTTATGCATATGAAATTTGAAAATTTTCAGATTGAAGGAAAATATATTTAATCTTAACATGAAAAAATCACTTTGCATTCATAGGAGTCAACACTCTTACTACAAATATTTATGGACAAATCTTTAGTAAAAATGCTTAATTGTAAAATCTGATTTTTGGGTACAAAAGACTTGTAATGTTTAGTAAAAGCTTGCCACATTTTGTAATTGTATGGTTTCATGGCCATTACAAGGTGATGTAAAATATACAAGCCCATGTCTATAGGGTATTATGCAAATTTAAAAGAAAAGAAAAGTGTTCTTCAGTATCATAATGCATAGAAGGTTTGCACACAGTAAACCATGCCATCTGAACACTACAAAAGAACAAGATTAACTTTTCTATGAGGCTGATGAATGAGATAACATATTCAAGATGCACTTACTTAAAGAAATAAGCAGATGAGAAGAACACCAGGTACAGAGAAGCATAGGTTATTCTGTCTTTTATCTCCTCCTGAAAACAACACAAAGAAATGTTTTAAAAAATGCAGATGTTTTCTTTGAACTTTTTTCAAGAAAAACAGAAACGAGTCGGAAAAAAAGAAGATAAATTTGGTCTATCACCAATTCTCACACAAAACATAAACAAGGCCAATACATTCTGCTATTTCATATCCTCCTAATCATAACAAATAATTAAAACAAAATATATATTATCTTTCTTCTCTTCCTAAATGTGGTAGGAAAAAGTAATTAAAGTACATAACAAACCCACTTGTATAGGTGAAACAAAATATAAGAGTGTGAATAAATTTAATCAAGCAACTTTCACAAATCTTGTTATTAGTTATTTATTTGCCAGCAGCATTTTAATAAATATATAAAATACAGATTTGTTGTAATAATAAAAATAAAAGAAAGTGGTATAATGATGATTTTATAAAGAAATTTAATGCAACATTTAGTAAATAATAATTAAAAGTACAAAATGCTAAGAGGAAAATGATACCAAAGTTGATTTCTTTACAAAGGTTTAATTTCTACACAGGTTGTTCTCTGTATATGCATTTTGTTTGATTTTTATGTTTCTTTCAATTTTTGTTTGATATTTTTACATGAAAAAAGTTATCTTATAATTTACCCAACTGATAGATTGATAAAGAACTTTTAAAGTATATAATGACAATGTGGTTGAGGTAATACTGTTAAATTATATTTTTGGGTTTTTTATGAAAATCAACTATTTTTTATAAGAATATTTTTTGTGAATGTCAAAACTCAATAAGACAATCAATCCAAGCCAAACTATACCTTCTTAACTTTCTGGAAGTAGAGTTCAGGATAGCAATGCAACCAATATGAAATCTGGATAATGAAATAGAACTTGAACATGAACCTAGAGAAAGGATAAAAAAAATAGGGATACAAGGTGTAAAACAAATGCATATTCAATATACCATCACTAAATACACATACAACTTTGGAAAACAGTTTGTTGTTATCTTAAGCCATCTTCTCTCATGACAGTTAATCAAGTCAAATGTTTGCAGTCTACCACTAACAGAAAACAAAAAATTAAATAAGATTCTATACCACAGCAGTCAACAATCAACTTCTAACCAATTTCATAAATGACAATAAATTGCACAAAAATAAAGCCACATGAAAGTATCCCATGTTTAACATTTTCACCTTGGGTAGGTAAAAGTTTGCATGTCACAACCTTTTACAGAGTTACATTCAAAATTTAATTAAACTACTTTATTATCAATGTATATAACTAAACTCAGCATCAGAACATAGATAATAAATCAACGTTTAGTATTATTTAAGTTTTACATTCTTAATTTTATAAGGAAATATTTGAAAAAAAACAAACAAATTCTCAATCTCCCCTAGTACGAGAACTGCAACATTTGTTAGCTGTTCATCGAATTTGTTAGCTATGTATTCCCTCTTCTCCAATTTTTTTTACCACCCCCCTTAGAAGTACACAATTTAATGTAAATTACTCATTATAAGGTTTTCATTGTTCAGGCAAAGCATAATTTACATAGCCTTCAATCTTATTCAGTTACAGAGCAAAACAGAAAATCAGTCACCCTCTCTTTCAGAACTTATCAATAGTTCTCTCTAACATTTAAGACTACATTGTTTATAACCAATAGAAAGTCAAAGGCTTTCTCTATCAAATGATGTATTATATTACGTTGCTGACTGTACAGATAACTGTCTATTTTCCTTCCAGTTCAAACTTTATTCCCACAGGAAACACATTGACGAGCTTAGCTGAATTTTTTAACAGATTTTGTCACACAGTTAGAAAGCCAGAAAAATTGTGATAGTTATAGAACATTTTTTTCCTTTTTGCATATTATTATTCTGTGTTTTTTGGTGCATTATTTAATGCAGTAATACAATTAGTATAAAAAAGCAAGGTTAAGTTTTATCGACAGTCAAGAGCAAAAAAAAAAACCCAGATAAGTACTTAATTTTTTGTTTTTCATGTGTATTCTTTATTTATTATTATAAAAGTAATTAAAATGTAGAAACTGAAAACTTTTTAGATTACCTAAGGTAAAAGGAATAATAATATCAATAATAATAATTCTTATGAGGTACGCTTGTGAGTAGTCTGTGCATTATGTAATTTGATTCTATAATGTGAGCTGCATGGTTGTCATGTGAATTGCAATTTATATGGTGCAAATAATAGTTAGACATGGTTCAAAGGACAATAAAATAATAAAACTTAAGTATAAATAGATGTATACTGTTACAAGCTTTAAGCTACTTAGGATAAACAATTATGGTTTTCTGTTACAAGTTACAGTCATTCGAGAAAGAAAACCGGCAAAATTTATAATTATTTCCTAATTTTTTGATGGTGGTTACGAGGTCAGTCAAGTCAACCAACTTCATTCAGAATTAGAGTAAAGAAAATAACAGATAAGATATAGTTTTCTGAAAGAAAACCTACATTTCATATTTATTTAGGAAGTTTTAAGAGTTATGCAAATGATACTTAAAAAGATTCAGATGAAGAAAAGTATTTTTAATTTTCTCATAAAAATTACTTTGCACTCATAAAGGGAAACAACATGAAGAGTAAATTGTTAATAAAGTTTTTCATTGAACATTAACATGCTATTTTCCACTTACAGAAGGGAAACATGTAGTGTACATTGTAAATAGTTTTTCATTGACAGTGAAGTGCTTTTTTTCCATTTTTTTGGAGTTTATTAAGTTCTACTTATGGGACCCTTGAAAAAAAAAAAGTTGAGTCCTGGACCCTTCACTGTATGACCCTAGTGAGAACCTTGAGTAAGGTAACAATGATTTTTCTTTAACTGTTATTAAAGTTTCAAAAGTGTTTTTTTAAGTCCATATTTTTATTTTGCTTATTTTTATAAATTAGCAAAACTGAATTAATTATTTCACATATCATAGTTATGGGAAGTCAAATTCACTGTCAAAACAATGTCAAAACCCACACCTCGATTTAGTAATAAGCCATGGGATCTAAAGTGCAAATGATCAGCTTATGTTATATGGAACGGTCTCAATTATTACTCTGAAATGACTTTAGTTTAAAGAGTTTCATATTGCTCATTAAGACATGGTTAGACCTCAAAGAAAACACCTTGATGTTTCACTCATGTGGAGAGCTACCAGATGGTCAATCACAGCAGACTGTTGTGAATTAGATACAAAATATTATAACAGAATGCAAACAGCTTCCAATCCAATGGTACCATTAGTCATATACCTGGCCATGATAGACCATCACATACAACACAAACAAACATATGACCCATCTGTCACTGTTGGTTTGCTGCAATTGTAGGGTACTTGCCCTACAACTGAATCAAGTGTTCATGGCAGTAATTAAGTGATAGTTCAGTGCATAAACAATTACAAACATACTTCACAAGGCTTACATGTACTCCAGATACACAAAGATGTGCTTTATGGTCACAGAAAGCATTAAACAGATTACCCTTATAAATGCCAAGAAAGCATCCAGTGAACCAATAACATGTGGAGCAATATTCTTTTCAAAAAAAAGAGACAGGCTTCACTGCATAGATAAATAATATTTGAATAACAATTTAGAGCCCAGAATCAGACCCAACTTCATTTTATATAAGGATGTGACATATCGCAGTGGTGTGGATGGGAATAAGCATTGACAAACAAACAGCCAACAACATTTTATGCTGTCATATACTAGTGCAAGAGATTCTAAGTTCAGCCTAATAAATGTAATACCTTCTTTTACAGTGTCAAATCATTCAGTATAATCTCTGAAGAAGAGGAGGACTGACTGGATGGAGTGGTTAAGGATACCTCAGAAACTTATTAGCACGATGGATAATCAGATGTGTGCTTTAAATCAAATTGAACTACAGGGGTGTGATTGACATTAGTTAATAATGCTTTTGCCATGGCCTAGCTAAAATATTATAAGTACAATTATTGTTTAAATCTAAATAAAAACATTAAAAACTAGGACAACAATAATGATGATCCAGCATCTTGAAGAAATTTTAATATTCCTAGAGTGTTTATCAAAGAAAAGTTTTGGTTAAGGAAAATATTTTTTCTCCTTACCATGTGCAAGAAAAAAACAAAAACAAATGGATGTCACTTATGAGTTATGAAATATAACTGTACAGTAATTATACTTGTAGCAGACATACATTTAGCAATAATATGAACTATAAATTCAAAACTATTATAATTTAGTTTTTACTTACGTCATATGTGCGTGAGGGTAATCCACCCACAGTCTAGAGATGTCAAGGACATATCCCTCCTATTAAATCATATATATATCTAATTAAAGATGTTTGATAAAGAAAAACTACATACAGTTCATAACCAAATCAACTGATTGACTTCAATAAATAAAACGTTTTTATTTTTAAAATTGGGAGTTGGCCATACAAACATTAGTTGCTGTTTTCATTTTCACAATATCTGGCAAACAAAGAAAGCATTAAAATTGCCTTTCAATGGTAATTTAATATGATAGCTATCCAACGATATAGCTTTTTGTTGTTATTGGTTCACACCTTGCAGATATATATTCATTTGAAAATGATCCTCCCCCTAGTCACATTTTGATGAAAGTCCATTATCTGTTACAAAGTAATGTACTTAAAAAAACTGCCTGTTGTCACTGCTAAGCTAGTCAATATACACTGGGAAAATGTCCAACCCTCATGCTTACCCAAATCTCAGTTGCTGATGCTAGGTTGGAAGGTACAAAGTTTGCAAGAAGTGCAAAATTTGTGGATGCAGTCATTCATGATGGGGTTCCTGCTGAAGTTAAAGCAATCAGAAAGAGATTGTCTACAAAGATTAGAATCCAACCAAGAGGCCATGAAAATTGTGTAGAAGAAAGAATAGTAAGAATAAGATACTATATTCTTCTCATTGTAACCACTTTCATTGTCTAAAATTGTTCAGTGATTGACATATTTAGATACGATTGATCAGATCTCCAATAACAAGTCATAGCACATAGTTAAAGAAAATTTATTGTTGTTTCTACTTTTGCTCAGGACCATTCCACTTTGACCTTTATTTGCATGTAAGAATGGTTTCAACGTTCACGACATGGAGGACTATTCATCAATGCCAAAACAACATTTTGGGAGTTTCATTGCATTTTTCAAAGCAAGAGACCAAATCATATATTTATGCAAAGTTTTATATCAGAAATTGGTCTAGTGAATTTTCTCTTCTAAAAAATGACATCAAAACATAGCAATTTGTGTATGATCAACTCAAAATTTTAAGGTTGATAGGAAAATGAGTTAGAGAATTAGGACTTAGTATCAAATTAAAGATAATATGTATATGCAAGTATGGTTTAAATTATAACTTATTCTCTGACAATAGAATGTTTTCTTCAAAAAGAACTACCAGAAAACTAACCTAAAAAAATCAGTGAAAACTGTACATAATCTAGGTATCTAATTATCATCTGTAATTAAAAATATACATACATAAATATAGTTTGTTAAAAAACAAATAAGATTTGTTTTTTAACAGTTATTTAAATGCTTGACTGTTACACAATTAGATCAACTACTGTATGTTTTATTTCCCCCATCATCATCCTGAAGAAAGAGAAAAAAATCTTCAACATAGATCAGTCAGTTATTATTTTAATTTCATTCCAAAATATGAAGAAAAAAAGAATTAGTTAAATATGTTGCAAGAAAATAACTACAATAAAATGTACAAAAGCTATTAATGTTAATTAACCTTACATATGCTTGCTAGGGTGAAACCATGTTTCTGTAGCATATCAATCTATTCAAGATGTCATTATAAACCTTGAGAAAAGCACTAGACAATCTACATATGCAACATTTCTTGGTGAAATCCTTTTGTGAAAATTGAAATTACACATTTTAATGTATCTTTGCTGATTGTCATCTTATTCTCTTATCAAGTATTTACTTTTATAATAACCAGCTTTAATGAACACATGGCATACCTTTAAGATAATATCTCCTCCCCAAACTAAAGAAACCAAATAGAAGAGGAGCAACTGTCCAGATTCATTGAACTTACTATGCTTCAGCTTAGAGAGATGCATCTTTCTGTTCAATTTCTAGATGAAAAAAAACAACAAAAACTAATAAAGCAATACATGTAAAATATAAATAATAAATGTATTTTCTGAAAATGTAAGAGCATATTGTTACTTATTAAGGGTTTAAAAAAATTATGATTTTGAATGTTACCTTTATTAGTTTTTACACCCAGATGAAGTTGCTATCACTTACTATTGTTTCACATAAGTTTAATGCACATGGAAAGGATACCAAAAGATACCATAAGCATTTAAAGTTGTGACTTACTTATTAGAAGAAAAAACATAAAAAAACACACACACACACTAAAATGAGAGTATTCATGGATCATAAACATTCAAGAATGTAATAATATATTTTATATTCATGTATTTCATTGTCTATTGTATACAATTCAGTGTAGGATAGAAGTGTTACTATTTTCTATAAGCACGTTACTTCTACACCTTCCATTGTAAAGATTTTTTGACTGACGTTTTCTTTTTGCATCACATGAAAGTTTACATGAAAATTAGCTCATCTTTGATTTTAAAATTCTTTAGTAAACTTAAATGTCTATATTTATTCAGTTATTTAATTTTTTAATAGTCCAATATACTAAAATTCAGTGATCAATAAATGTAGCCTTTTGAAAACTAAAAATGTAAATAATTAAAGTATACTTGACTCAGTCTTCATAATGCACTATCTATAAAAGTAATATGTATGTTTTTGTAAGAAAGTTGACTTGATTTTAACTACCTTAGGTTTTAAAAGATCTGATTTGAGATGGTGCTGAAATATTCAAGTATATACACATGCAAATAGTGCTAACTCTGTAAGCTTGGAATTTCTTTATTTTTGGACATCATTTTATAGATATTGATGAGATATGCAAACAGAAACTGTCAAAATAACTTTGTGTCACATGCTAGAATTTCTTAAAATGTATTTACATAAAATAATACATATTTTTGTCATTACAATAGTCTTTTGTGTACTATTCGTACCAAATATCCAACTTATTTGCCAAATCTGCACAATTTACAACTTGAAAATAAATTAGAAAGTTGGAAAAAATATTGTTCAGATACAAGTTACATAGAAGGAAAAGAAAACTTTCTTTGAATTAACTATTAGTAACAACCGATACAAAATTGCTTAAACATACTTATATTCAATTTACACATTTAAGCTGTTTTTGATTTTAACTAATACTTACATCCAAAACATATTCTTGAATGATGGCATGCATGACAATGGCAATCAGGAAGTAGAAGAATACAACACACAAATCTTTTGTTCCATAGGTGAAGTAGATAATATCTGTTGGACTGGTAGCTAAAAAAAAGTAAATAAATCAGTTAAGGACATACTATACAAGTTGTGTAAGATGTTTTTATTTATAACATGATGCTTAATAGCTGAAATCCTTACAGTTTTTGACAGATGGACTGATTCTGAAAAAAAAAGCACTATAGTTCTATCACTTTTAAATGAGATTTATCAACCTTTTTTTTTTTTTATCTTATGTATAGAATAAACATTTCACCAACTGTCAGAAAGATAGTCCATGCATCATTAAAACAGATATTATGGCTCATACGCTATATTTACTAGAAAAATATCTATACTAAATATCACACACCTTTATATTAAATATAATACTATTATATACATCTCACTATAACTAGTTTAGTTTTATTTTAAAAACAATCAAAACCAAAGATTTGTTTTAATTCTGCTTAGGGCTAAAATAACATCAAGGTGAATGAAATGTTTTTGTTTGTTTTTTAAAGAAGAAACAAACTTTCATTGAAAGTATTAGCCTCTGGGAATATGACATTAAGTAAAAGTACTGAATTCAGAGAAAGTCTACAATATTAAAAATTATTATTTACACAAAATAATTCTTGGCCCATTAAATTGTATTTGACAAAATATATTATTGAGGCATTTCTAAATTTACACATTAGCAAAAACACTAATATTAAAAACTAAGGAATAACTTAATACAATGAAGAGCATGATAAAACTTGCATTCGTATGTTGGGAAATTCAGAAGTGCAATACTGGAAATCTACATGACTGCAGATAGGGATGATCCTTTCATGTTATCATATGATCCATGCATGTCACTATAAATCTAATACAGAGGTATTAACTAATGTCATCATATTCAGATAACAGTACATGTTTATAGTATCTAGAACTATTACATCTTGAATTCATCTTCATGCATGTATAAATATACAGTTAAAATCCTAAAACTTTGCTTTTATAATACATATACAATATAGTGCTTATAAAATTGACTTACTATAATATAGAATTACTAACCTTCTGTTACATTATGATGCATGGCAACAAAAAAGGAAGCAACAGGTGCAGTTGCCTGGAAAAAAAAAGTGTTTTATATATATGAAAGCCATTTTGATAATATAATGTTTCAATTATACACGACAATATACATCCCAAGATGTTACTTACCAGCTTACGAGCTGATTTAAGCTTGTGATTTGTATTTCTAATTTTCAAAACATCCACTACTATCACTAATAAAAACTCTTAACTATGTGTTTGCCTAATTAATCTTTGGGGACTTCATAGCAACTATCACTTGGTCATTATTTCAAAGATTAACAAATTCAAGGTATGTAATTTTGCATAAAAACAATTAAAAATTTTTTTTAATTCTTAAGAGTGAAAAACATGTATAATAATAATAATAATATGCATAATAATATGGTGAAATATATTAGTTTAAACAATGTTGTGTGTGTGTGTGTGTGTGTGTGTGTGTGTGTGTGTGTGTGTGTGTGTGTG